TAATCATATAATTGACAAAATATAGCACATATGTATACACATAAGAGTTTTAGTTGGGTATTGGTCATAATTATACTATTAAAATGTAAAGAAGACTATATTAAAGAAATTATTATTTCTGCCTAACATTATACAGATTCTTTAATTTTAGAATTAGAAAAGGTAAGAGATCATGTAATCAACACTTTTACACATGAGGAAATTACCTGTGAAGTCATCCAGGGTATATAAAATTTAGCAATTAATTACCTGGTTTACCAGCTTTACAAAAGATTTTGTAATAGTCTTCCTTTAAATAGCTATCTTGAGAGTACAGGTAGTCCCTGACTTACGACATACTCGAATTATGATGAACTGCATTTAGGACTGTCCTGCTTTCTTGGTACATCTTATCATTAGTACTCTACAATTTGCTAATGTTATCATTCTCAAATGTTTACTCACAGATACTTATATGTAATGTTTCCAACCCCCAAAGACAAAGATAAAATTTATAAAGATACTGATAATAAAATGCAATAATAGTGTCCATCTGAAGACATAGGTCTGGTGGTGTGTATTTCTACATACGTAACTATAGGTGATGCTTATGTGTTGGTATAGACAACAGAACACACAAGGGCCACAGTCAGGTAAACTTCTTAGACATAATCAAACACCTTGTGGGATGAAGTTCCTAGGCTTGAAGGCAAAGGACCACAGACTCGAGGGGCTTCTGCGTCAGTTGGCACAACATAGTTCATAAAGACAAAGTTTTGCGTCTTACTTTGGTGAGTAGTATATGGGGTCTTAAAAGCTTGCGAGCGGCCGTCTAAGGTAGAACTATCTGTCTCTTACCATCCCGAACAAAAGAGAATTAAGATCAAAGACCCGAAGAAGCAATTAGTCCAGAGGACTAATAGACCACATGAACCACAGCCTACACGACCTAGATGAACTAGACCATGAAGAACTAGATGGTGCCCGGCTACCACTACTGACCTCTGTGACTGGGATCACAACAGAGGGTCCCAGATAAAGCAGAAGAAAAGTTGCGGAGCAAAAACAACGTTCACAGAAAAAGATTTGACTTACTGGTCTGATAGAGATTGGAGGAACCCCCGAGACTATGGCCCTCCTAAGCTGGAACTGAAGCCATTACCGGAGACCATCCGTCAGCCAAACCATAGACAGGCCCATAAAATAAACAACACCCAAGAGGAATGTATTCCTTAGAACAATCTATTATATGAGATCAAAAGGGCACCATTTGCCCAAAAGCAAAGATGAGAAGGCAGGAAGGGTTAGCAAATCAGGATGAAAGCAAACGGGGAACCTGGGACAGGAATAGGGGGAGGGTAGGCGCATTGTGGGCAATGGAACCAATGTCATGGAACACTTTGTGTACAAACTATTGAATGGGGAACTAATTTGCTATGTAAGCTTTCACCTAATGCATAATTTAAAAAAAAATTAGAAAATGTAATAATAATAAAAAAACAAAACAAAACAAGGTATTTGACTTAACGTTAGAATCGACTTAGGACGGAATCATTGGAAACGGGGACCCTGTCCTGAGTTGAGGACTACCTGTATCTCATATGATACATTTTATGTACTCCTTTTCAAAAACACCACATTTAATGTATGGTAGAGAATGATTTGGGATTCAGATGAGTTAGTTGCTCAACTTTCCAAACAAGGTACACAATTAGGCACAGTATTTTTAGAGCCATAACTGTCAAATATTGTGTTAAATGCCATATAGAATTTTAAAGAGTCTTTGTTCCTGCCTTCTAAGAATTGTCACATACTGACTTGGGGTTCCAGATTTAAAATACAATTCAAAGTAACTGGAGCTCTAAGTGATGAAAAGGAGATGACTTGGGAAGACTGTTGATGAACCTCATCCTTACAGACAGTACTGAGGTATACCTTGCCCGACTGCTTGTCTTCGTTATGAGCCTTAGTGCTGGAATTCAAACTGGGTCATTGTTGAGAGAGGCCAAATTGAGTTGCTTGTACACACAGACATTGCTGGGTGGCTAGACAGACTACTTGCAGCTGTGAGCTGTCTCAGGCTGTGGGTACAGCAGGACATCAGCCAGCAGGGGGCCTCTTGGAGGTTTACAATCCATAGTGCAGACCCAGCCTGGAGTGTAGGTTCCAGGAACAGAATTTTGGAAACAACACTGTAGGATTTAGGCATTGGATCGGGACCTGAACACAGTGCAAAACACGAATCTGGATGATTGAACCTTGCCTGCAAAGTCAGAGCACGATCCACAGCAGCCTGGGACCTGCTTGGCCTGTGTGTGGGTCTAGAGCATTCAGAAGAGATGAAATGTTGGTAACAGGAACTGGGAGCCAGGCTAATCTTTGGGTTTTTGTGTTTTGAAAGATGGCATCACAAATGATGTTTGATGTTTCCTGCTTTAGGTACAATTGCTGCTAATAGTGATGGCTTACCTTTGTAGAGTGTTTCCAACTTTTCGCAGAGTGCTTTTACAAACATATGATCTGGCCTTCACAATAAACTTGAGAGGGGTGGCATGGATGTAATTATCCCATTTGGCAGATGAGGAAAATGAAGGTGAAAGATGCTAAGTAACTAACCTTAAGGTCACTTGCTGTTAGCTCTTGGTATTATCACTATTCCTTGCTGCCAATGCTAGACTCCATGTTTATTTCCCAATTTGTTTCCCAGCAGCCGCTGCCGTCTTTAGGGACTGCCAACATTTTGTTGCTTTTCTTTTTACCTCCCAAATCACAAACATAATTTTGGCTTAGTACCGAAGGGAAAAGTAAGCAAAAGCAAAAAACAAAACACTATTCCATCACGACTTACCGGCTTAAACTATTCTTCTCTGTTATTTTCTATCAACAGTTTTTGGAAGTGATGCGTATTTCTTTCCACCCTATTTTAACCTCAGTTAACCTCACTGTGCTGTAGCTGCTTAGGTGTCTTGTAGTAAACCATGTATGTACAAGTCCAGACAAGGAGTCCAGAGTTACAGCAAGTTAAACAAGAGTTGCCAGTGTTGTAACAACCAGTGGGCCTGAGTTGTTGACATAGAATTTGTTGGTTTTAGCCTTGAATGGTTTTCTAACTTTCATTTTACCTGGAGAGCCTCTTCTGCTATGCTTTTATGTTTCTTTCTGTTAGAATTCCTCTCCATTTCTTTCCAGAAAATGTCCGCCAGCCTGCTTTCCTGCAGTGTGCCTCCTGCAGGGATGCAGACTATAGATCTTAATGGTTTTCAACTCTGTAATTTTTGCACATATATTTGTCTTTTAAAGTAGGTTAGAAACATCAAGATAAAGTATTATGTGGGGGTAATTACTGTGGGTAAAAGTTGGAATAAGTGAAACAGAACTGGGCAAACAGGAAATCTGCATTCTAGTCTAGGCGTTATTCCACCAAGTAACTGTGGACTTTGCACAAATCCCTTTATCTTCAGGACACCCATTTGCCGTATCTGTGAGACAGTTGCACTGAATGATTTCTAGAGTCCTTGCAGATCCAAATCTTATTCAAGTCCCCAAACAGAATACACGATTGTACTAAATAAAAGTAGGATGGCTGGCAAACCTTCCAGCAGTGAAAAGGATGATCTAAGTGAGCTTAAATTCTGTTGATAATGAGTGAAAAGCAATAAAGGTGATACAACTTTCTGGCAATGATAAAATCATCTGAGACTCACTGTTAATAGCTGACCTTTTCAACTTGGTTCTTTATCTTGTTCACCATTGGATCCGCAGCACCTAATATAGCACATGATCAGAATGATATATTTTGGGAATACTTTATAAAGGATTGATGGACTTCTTGACCCATTTACCTCATTAGAGTAAGTTAACTATGTCTCGAAACAGCTTTGAAATTCAGGAGGTATGGGAACAAGTGATAGAATCCTAGTTGGAAGAAAATTCTAGAGGTAAAAATGTGGCAATAGATAACAAGTTACATAACAAGTTGGTATTCCTTATTATCTTTCAACTCCATGGATGACGTTTCTGGGTTAAAGACTTGTTAAATGAGATTTTAACTTTATATTTTACTTTCAAGAGGGAAAAGGGAGCCATATTTGCACTTAATGTAGTAGAGTATGGAAATGAAGGCAGAGAATAAAATGTTACTAATGTTTTGTGTATAAATTTTCATCACATTTATTGTGTTCTGGGTCATGGATTAATCTGAAAGGCAGATGAAAGCTGTGCCTTCTCTTTCCAGAAAAATAAGTACACACTCCAGATTTTGCATGTAAATTTTACTATGCCACATTGCTAATTTTTTGAAGTAGAATTTTGAAGTAGATTTTTTAAAAATATTAAGTGGTCCATTGTTTTTACACTTGGCATTTTTTCACCTTTTGTTTTTCCCACTAAAATTACCAGTCATCAACCTTTAAGATAGTCTGGACTTGAGCTTCTTTCCCAGAGAATGGACAGATATTCTGGGGGCCCTCAGTTGGCTACCTACCCACCTAAGCCCTAGAATTTTGATACTTAGGTGGCACAAACAGTTTGCGCTCAACTGCTAAAGGTTGGCAGTTTGAACCCACCCAGTGGCACAGCAGGAGAAAAGGCCTGGTGATCTACTTTTGTTAAGATTACAGCCAAGAAAACCCTATGGGGTAGTTAAACTCTGTAACACACGGGGTCGCCATGAGTCAGAATCGACTGCAACTAACAACAACCACAGCAATCAGAAGAATTTCAGAACAAGAGAGGAGGATTGTTAGTTAGGTTTTATATCTAAAACTAAATTATTTTGGATAATTTGTCCATTGACTTGATACATTTTAATAATTGATTGAAAAATATGACACCAGATGTTGGTAGTGGATCACTGGGAAGACACTATAGAATTCTCTAGTTTTATCTGTACTAGGTTTTCACAAACTTAAGTTACCTGAAGGCCCTTGTTAAAATGCAGATTCTGATGCAGCATCTGGGGCTGGCTGACATTCTGCATTTCTCACAGACTCTGAGGTGATGCTGCTGCTGACTCTTGACCTTGACCCGACCCATACTTTGAGTAGCAGGGACTTGTATTACCTGCCTTACTACTATGGTAAGAAGAGGTAGCTCTCACATAAGTTTTCCATGGTCTTGATTTTGTTAAAATTTGTATACTTTTTCAAGTTGGCTACAAAAATTAAAGTCATTCTTATTTTTTTAAAAAATACGATTTCTTCTTGTAGTTAAGAATATATTTTTAAGACAGCCACACTCGTCAGTCCTCCCCCCCACAGAGTGATAATGCCCCTCTTGCAGCACCATTCTGAGTTGTTCAGATTTAGCACTACTTCATTGACCTAGTAGTTTCAAGTTTATCTACAAAACTTAATTTTCCGAATAGCTGAAATCTTTAATTTCAGAAAGAGCATTTTCTAAAATACTATATAATGTTTTCCTTAAACTAAAACTGTTAACATGCACTTTTTTTCTTTGACTTAGTGGTGTAAGAGCCGTGTTTTTTGGAAGCTGTCTCGGTGATGGGCGTTGAATTGTATACAAAGTGAATAAAAACTAGTCTTCTAAGTTCTTGTGTCATCTTGTATGCTTTTTCTATTTTGTCCGCATCCAGCTGCCGATTATTAGTATACCTGCCCCTTAGTGGCTCGCTTCCCTTTCCATTCTCATACTTCTAACCTGAAAAGCCAGATGACTAGGTTTGTTAGAAATACGGATAGATTACTCCCAGCCAGAAGGGTCTGCCTTCTGTGGTGGCTTTCCTTAGGAGGGAAGCAGTCAGGAAGGTCAGTAGCATTTGAGCAGGAGAGGAGTCCTTTGGTTTAAACCATATTCTGAATAGTTGAGGTGCTCATTTATTTCTTTTTCATGCCTTTCTCTGTGTTTTTTAAAACTGGTTTTAGATGTCTTTCTCTCATACTGTGTTTTAGTGCATTTGAGGGCGATTCGGAAGTGTAGATATGCACGTATGTGGTAGCCCTGCGAGTAGGAATAGAGTAACTAATAAATAAGCAGCACTTCAGGGCCCATCTAAAATGGGGGCGGATGACTTGTGCCAAAGATGGTTCTCTTACAGTACGTCTTGCAGTGGCATTGCCAGCAGTTTTAAGAAGTAACGATAACAATAAAAGGGTAGGCCTTGGTTCAACTTAGTGACTTAAGATCCTAGGAACGAAAGACTGATTTCTGGCATGTTACCTTTGGTGGATTATTAGTTATAATAATCACAATAGTAGCTCCTGTTTGTTGTGCCCTCACTCTGGCAGGCCCTCATTATTTAGACGAGTGTTGTATAACAAACAGCGTTGTGGTCCTGGAGGGTGAATTAGATTGGAGGGGAGCAAATGGCAGCTGGGTGCTGAACAAATGAGAGTAATCCAGATAGAGGAGGGGGAGTTTAAATCTCCTCCTTAGCCTCTCTTTCCAAATAAATAAGCATGTGTGGAAACTGCTGCGGGTGTTTTTGTTTTTTCTTACTCACCAAGGCTAGAAATAAATTGTCAGAGGATTCACATCTATGAGAACCACTTAGTACTTTATATTCTTCCAACTCGAAGCAGAGAGAACCTGTTTGCGTTTTAACCAGGCAGCACCAGAACATGTATCACTTTGAATAGCCTCATTATTGGTTTTGTGTTATAAATTGTGGATTATAGTCTTTAAACTTACGACAAAGCTGAATGCAGCTGTAACATTTAAGGTGGATTCTGAGATCCTGAACAGGCCCCATCTGACATATTTTTAGTGAATTAAACCTTTTAACACTGATGATCACCAGTTTTCTCTCATTTGAATCTTATTTTCACATCTAGAATTTGTCCTACGTTTCAGTGCAGCTCAGTGTACTGTTATAAATGCCGGTTTAATAGTATTTTGTGATCTGGGACTCCTGTCAAAGATTATTATAGGAGCTAGGAAACATTGGGAGGTAAACTGAATGCATGACCTCATCTCTCTTATTTTGCACTAGAATATAACGTGCAGAGACTGAAAAAAAAAAATTCCTCTTTTAAATCTGTAATAAATGTGTTTAGTATGGTGTTGCCATTAATAATCCCTTTCAGCTTTTAGAATGGAGTGTTCTCAAACATTCGAAAATGCTGCTGGGAAAAAGATTTTACTAGAAATGTAGAGTAACTGTCATTCCCTACCCTTAGTTAATTGATCCTGCTTGTTTCACTGGGGAAACAAAAATGTACGTTTACTGAGGAGAAATCTGTGGGCATAAACTCTTCTCTTCCTGTTCTCAAATATGCTTCATATGTTGTTTATCTTATTTAAATATACAGTAGGAAAGAGTGCAACTGCTGTTCCTTTAATATCAGAACTATGCACGCTACAATAGGTGTCACATGATCGGTGACTTCAGCGATTGGCTCAGAGCACCCACCGGCTGGCTGACTCCATCTGCAGGGCTGTAACACCTACTCTCCTCCGATCCATTCACCACACAACTTCAGCCGGCTGAGCAGGCTCGTGCGGCTCCAGCAGCATCTTGCTAACCTAATTCAGAAAACAAGTGCTGCGGCTCTGTGCCTGTCATCTTCACTCAGTGTACCATTTCCAGGTGATCTAGGAAACTGGGTGATTTTTATGAACAAATAAGAGAAACAGGAATCATGATGGGGATGTATTTAACAGACCAAGTACTGGATAAAACTTAAAGCCAGTTTCTATTCAACATAGTGAAAAGGTCACCTTGCCTGGCTGAGAAAAGAAGCAAAATATCAGCTTGTTGGTTTCTGTCAACATCTTAGCTTGTGCTGGCCTCTTTTCCTTGATATTCTCACCAATTTGGAATATCTAGCTATAGAGAGAGACATACTGTACTCATGGTAGATGACAAGGAAAAGAACATGAAATGTCTCACCTTCTTCTTGATGCTTCCAGAGACGGTAAAGAACAGGTCCAAGAAAAGCTCGAAGAAAGCAAATACCACGACCAGCAGCAGCAGCAACAGCAAGTTGCCCCCAGTTTGCTATGAAATTATTACCTTAAAGACTAAAAAGAAGAAGAAGATGGCTGCTGATATATTTCCCCGTAAAAAACCAGCCAACTCCAGCACTACCACTGTCCAGCAGTACCACCAGCAGAATCTCAGCAACAACAACCTTATTCCAGCCCCGAACTGGCAGGGTCTGTATCCCACCATTAGAGAAAGGTGAGTGCTGGGCCAGCATATTTACTTTAAAAAGTTTTCCTATGTTGATGTTTCTGCTTTTACACAACCTGTAATGTATTTTACCACAAATCTGTGTTTGCGCTTTTCCCAGAAGCTTTATTGGTAATGGAAAATTGCCTTGCGTCTTTTCCAGAATAGTTCAGCTGTTTTCCTCTTAGATAAAAATGTTTTTGCAAGCTGTAACATTTAACTGACAGGGTTGTGTCTATGGGCCATAGAGAATGGAAATCTTTTATTTGTCTTTAACCTTGTGAAAGTTTGGCCAACTTTTCTTTTTTTCTGTTTTTAAACTTGAGTTACTTCCCATGTGTTTGCAATGATTATAAACAGAGTTGTTTAGTTAGAACCTTTCTTTATTTTGCCTTGAGGTCATTAAACTGTTGCTTAGCTTTCAAATCTTCTGTGGGTTGTGTATGTGGGAGAGGGGGCATTAAAAATGCTGACTGCTGTGAATTAATGAATTGCCTCTGTTTATAGAAATGCGGTGATGTTCAATAATGATTTGATGGCAGACGTACATTTTGTGGTTGGGCCACCAGGTGGGACTCAGCGGTTGCCAGGACACAAAGTAAGCAACAGCTGCATTACTGGTTTTGACCTGAGACTCACAAAGAGGGACCCTCTTTGTGAGCCTGGAACTTGGGGTGGGCAGCCTGCTCGTGGCAGGCAGTGCGTGTCTTACCCAGTCACAGAGAAAGCCCGGCCTCTTCAGAGAGTTTTGTCCATGCTAAATTTTTTCTTTCTCTCTTTCTACCCTGTTTTATATCCCACACAAAAACATGCCCTCTGCGCTCTGCAGTCATGGGATAAGATCTCTGGAAGTTCTTGTGACAGGTTAGGACAGTCATCTATCTGTTTACCCTTTTTCTAGACATCAGTCAGATAATTTTTCTGTTTTTTTTAATGTATTTTTGTAATGAGGAAAATTGTGCATGAATCCCTTAAAGCCTTGATAATTAGCAACATGGAAACTGTTGTGTGTGAAGATCCTAGGCTTCCACAGCAAGATACGTTGCACCTTTACACAGGAGCAGGTTTAGGTACTGTGTTCTGAGAGTTGTTTTTCTGGATTGATTTGCCGAAAATACGTTCAATTTAGTTCATGAAATAAGATTTCCTTTTCTCCACAGTATGTTTTAGCTGTTGGGAGCTCTGTGTTCCATGCAATGTTTTACGGAGAACTTGCTGAGGACAAAGATGAAATCCGTATACCAGATGTCGAACCTGCTGCTTTTCTCGCTATGCTGAAGTAAGCATCATTCATATGTTGGGAAAGAGTTTGTTTATGCTGCATTTGTACTCTGCGGGGCTCACAGTTAAATAGGAGTTCTGTATAACAGCAGTGGGAAACATTGATGAAGAAAGAGGGTGCTGCCTACCTTGTAAATGTTATACAGAAAACTACTGTGCATCCTTCAGCGGGAGCATATGGAATGATGCAGGCTTTCATAATCACACCTTGATGTGGGATTTGGGGACAAGTGGCATGAATAGTGATTCAATTTTTAATGACTTATAATGAAGGAAAAATAATTTTCTGGTGTAAACATTGTTTACTTGACGATGTTCTCTCTGAAAGTATTGTGAAAAAGTCTTTAAATAAATTGTATTCTACTTCACAGTGCTATAAATTATATGCTTTGTTTAAATAGTACCAGTTAGGATATTTCTCAGTTTTCCAAGGGTTGCTGTCAACAAATGCAAAACTTATCTGTTGAAATAATCTGATCTTTGTGCCCATATGCATATACTCTTTTTTTTTTTTTTTTTTTCAGTATGCATACTCTAAAATCAAGCATCTTTTCTCAAGGATAAGAAGCATTTGCATTTGATAGCAGAGGAGAAATTTTTGAACGATACTAATGTTTTTCTCTAGTTTTATATAGATTTATATAGAAAAACTTTATGAGATGCAAAGTGATAAGATACGTTACGCATTTATAAAAAATAATTTTATATCTAATCAGACTTTTTCAGAATCTAATAAATGTTAACCAGGGAAATAGAATTGGCCGTTTTACCAAGTACTTGTGCTGTGCAATGTGACAACCTGCAATGTGATTAAAATCCAGTGATTATTTTAAATAATATTTGTATGATTTTTCTTTATCCTTATTCTACCACACCAGAGTATATCAGAGTTCAAGGTTATATGCTGCCTTAGGGATTGCAGTTCATTGGATAAATGCAGTGCTTGTTGAAAACAACTTATTTAGGGATCAACAAACTGGGCAATAATTCCACAAAGAGTTAAAATGTTGACGTGTTGTCTGCTGCCTACTGAATTACATTTACGTTCTAGAACTAATTATGAAAAAAAAGTATAATTCTAGAATGTAAATGTATTGAATTGATTATGTTATAGTTTTGAAATCTAATTGCTGCTGACCAGAAGTTTCACAATGGAGCCCTGGTGGTGCAGTGGTTATGCGTGCTCAGCTGCTAACTATAAGGTCAGCGGTTCAAACCCACCAGTGGGATATAGGGTAATTAAAGACAAGTGAGCACATAACATATCGAAATATAAACTAAACCACCTTTTTAAGCCAACCAACACTTTGTGACCTTGGTAATCTTTTAGAAATACGTGTGCAGAAAAGAATTTTACCTGCAAAGATTTGTTTGTTTTGTTCTTTCCAGTGAAGTCACAGCTTTGTCTGTTTGAAGTGTTATCTGTTGCTGAGGAGAATACTAGCCCTTGTGTAGCATTTTGGCTTCACTGCAGTCGAGTAGAATATCTCGTCGTTCTAGATATATACATAATTAGGAAATGGGAGCAAGAGTCGCAAAGAATTGTATTTCACCTAAGTCATTGAATTCATCACCTTATAAGTATCTTGTATCAGAGATGTATTGTCTAGAATATATGTTGTTATAGCTTTTTAAAAATTATGCATCATTCCATGTAAAGCAGTAAAAATCAGAAATGTGGTAATGTGCCATTTCCTCTTATGCTGTAGTTGGTCAGTACTACGCTGTCATCTGGGATAGTGATGGCCAGATTTTCCTCACTCCAGCATTGTGGGGGGGTAGCCAGTATTCCTATAAAGGGGGCTCTTGAGAAAAAGAGAGGGCTGCCTAGTTGATAATTACAGGGTAAGAGCTACGAAGTGCTGACAGTGCTCCCTGGTCCTCCCCACGCACCCTGGCGCTCCTCTTGGAGCATCACTAAGCTGCGGGAGTGTTGTCTGGTGGCCCCGCCAGTGGTAGCTGGCTCAGCCTATAGGAGAAGAGGGGGCTTCTTGGCAGCAGAGGCAGGTTCCAGTTGTGATTGTGGAAAATTTTCTCATTGCTATCCTTGTGGTTTTATCCTTTCTTACAGAAGACATTCTGATTTCTTCAGTTGTATGTGTTTCACTAAAGTGAAATACAAGAAGTGGAGAAAAACTTCGGAACAAGTAGCTCTACACCTTAGCTAGAAAAAAATTTTTAAATGAAGTGTTATCAGTATTTATTTTTCACTCATATGTAGTTCTCCCTGCCTAGTTCTTACATCAGCCATAGCAGTCTGAAGGAAGCGGATGATTTCTACCTTATGTAACATTTTGGGAGTCAGCCACAGTCCCCCAAACACAGAGAAGTGTTTCTTCTCCAGAAGTAGGGATAGTTCACAGAAATAAGTGCATATTTAAGGTTTCGTCTATTAATTAAATGTATCTGGAAATAATGTATTCTCTAATTTTGAAAGTAGAAGGAATGTGTGAGGGAGAAGGAAGAGTTTCAAATTAAAAAAAAAAAACCCAGATACAAAGCCTGTGTTGAATTATCTCTAAAGTTAGCTGGAAGATAGCATCTAGATCTATATTTGATAATCCATTAAATTTGGAACTACTTGAAACATGCCTTATTTAATCTCAGGTCCTGTTTCATGTTTAGGAAAAATCTAACTCACACACAGTTAAAAACATCAAGGCATTAGTTTCTATCTGAATGAGCAGAAAGATTTTAAAGTAAACTATGCATGTTGCTCCTAAGACATAGGGAGATGGTCCTTTGATTAAATATAATATAGGTAACAGAATTTTGCTACTTTTTCCCTAATACTGTCTTTGATACGCAGTTCTTTCTCAATCTCAGTGTCTTCTATTCTTGTTAAGAACATACTCAGTGCAGCTTATGAAATAAAGGCAAGAATGGCAACCCAAAGCTAATGTCTTTAGTCATACAAACTTACTGCTGAGTTCAAATATTAATAATTTATGAATATGTTTCAGAGGTTTCTTTAATTTCTAAGCATTTTTTGTAATAACTGTCACATAAGATAATTTTCTTGGCGCTAACCTGAAAACAGTTTCGTCTTTCGTGCTGGATGCGTTCATTTTGTGAGTGTGCCCTTAACATGCTGTGTGCTTCCTTTCAGGTATATCTATTGTGATGAAATTGACTTGGCTGCGGACACAGTGCTGGCCACACTGTATGCTGCCAAGAAGTACATTGTCCCTCACCTTGCCAGAGCCTGCGTTAATTTCCTGGAAACCAGCCTGAGCGCCAAGAACGCCTGCGTGCTCCTCTCCCAGAGCTGCCTGTTTGAGGAGCCGGACCTGACCCAGCGTTGCTGGGAGGTGATTGACGCCCAGGCCGAGTTAGCTCTCAAGTCTGAGGGATTCTGCGATATTGACTTCCAGACACTAGAAAGTATTCTCCGCAGGGAAACTCTGAATGCCAAAGAAATTGTGGTTTTTGATGCAGCTCTCAATTGGGCTGAAGTAGAATGCCAGCGACAAGATCTAGCCTTGAGCATCGAAAATAAGCGCAAGGTCCTCGGAAAGGCACTTTACTTGATCCGAATACCCACAATGGCCCTCGATGATTTTGCAAATGGTGCTGCACAGTCCGGCATTTTAACTCTAAATGAGACCAATGACATCTTCCTCTGGTACACTGCGGCCAAAAAACCAGAGTTGCAGTTTGTGAGTAAAGCCCGCAAGGGCCTTGTCCCCCAGCGTTGTCACCGCTTTCAGTCCTGTGCCTATCGGAGCAACCAGTGGCGCTATCGGGGACGCTGTGACAGCATCCAGTTCGCGGTTGATAAGAGAGTGTTCATTGCTGGCTTTGGGCTGTACGGCTCCAGCTGTGGCTCTGCAGAGTACAGTGCCAAGATTGAACTCAAGCGACAGGGCGTTGTCCTGGGGCAGAACTTGAGCAAGTACTTCTCAGATGGCTCCAGCAGTACCTTCCCCGTGTGGTTTGAATACCCGGTGCAGATTGAGCCGGATACCTTCTACACAGCCAGCGTGATCCTTGATGGCAACGAACTCAGCTACTTCGGACAAGAAGGCATGACAGAGGTTCAGTGTGGCAAAGTAACTGTGCAGTTCCAGTGCTCCTCGGATAGCACCAATGGCACTGGGGTCCAGGGAGGGCAGATCCCTGAACTTATATTCTATGCTTGAAAACTCATTTCCCTAAGCAGTGTGAGCTGTTGTGAGGTGCACATTTGGTTCCTGCTTGATCAATGCTTAGCTCATCTGCAAATATATGATCAGCGCAGGTGATTGTTAATGAATGAAGCTGTAGGCAGTTTCTGATTTCTTTTAACCTTTTTATTGTGTCTGGCAAAAATGCAGCATTCAGCTTTTAACTATGTGCTTAAAAGACCCAAGCTCTTTTTAGAGCGCGTCTGTACACCTCGAGAGATTTTGTTTTCTTCCAACTGCCTTCCTGATCTCCCAGTTTTGTCCCTTTTAAGAAATGTTTGGAATCACCTCCAATTTTTTGGGGGGCTTTATTTTGATGGGTAGAAATAAATAGCCTGAAATAATGGCAAGAGTTAATTTAAACGAAGTCCCCCCTCACCCCAGAAAAGTTCAATTTCAGTGTACAATATTGAAAGAAGTCTTGCTTCATAATAATATAGAAAGTAGACAGTAGTCATGTTTGACTTTTATTTCTTTCCCTTTAAATTCTTTGCTTCTGAGCTTTGTGTTTTTTTTAATCCTAAATTTATAGTGTTACATACTAAACACTACAGAGCATCAATGTAAAATAGAAAAAGGAAATTTCTTTAGGCCACGACTTCTGCTACAATCAGATTTATATTCTCTTGGTTTAGAAGACAGAATATTGACGTACAGACGCTTCTTTTCAAAGGAATTAAAATATAAAATCTTCCTGTCAATAGAAAAAAAGTTGCAGGCCCGTTAATTTAAACTAAAACAGTTTAGAAAGGAAGCCTTAAAAAAGTCCCATACTACAAATCTTTTGATTAATGGCACATTAAAATACACAGTTTGAAAAAGCCAAACTCTTTTCTCCTCACTTGGCTTCTGGTCCCCACTATTTGCTTGTTTTGGTTTGAATATAGAATTCCTGTTCTTTTTTTCTCCCCCATTGAAAGTGGACCAAACAATTCTTTAGATGAATAGAATAACAGTTCATTTTGTAGCACTACATGTTCGTGTAAGAAGACACTTTATTCATTGATTTTTTTTTCTTTCTGAAATATGCGTTATCTACTTTGACTACATACTATTTTCTTATTATAATTCTGTCCTGTTCCTGGACTGCTAGAATCTGGCCTCTGGCCATCTTGAAGTGCCAATATATGCCTGCAGGGTTTTAAAAAAAGGGTCTGGAGTGACAGTAGTTTATACCTAATATTGCATCAGCATCACATCCCGCTCTCTTATCTGTCCATGAGTAATGTAAATAAGAGGGAAGGGCTCATCAAAAAAATTCTCCTTCACTGACGGCTTGTGATGGTTCTGTGCCTGTGTTCCTGGCAGTGTCCGATGCGTTCACCTCCAGTTGAAGTATCCATGTGTTCCTGGGCAGCTTTTCTGCTCAGCGTGATCCTGAGAGCACTTCCCCCGCCACCCAGAGTGTGGTCTCTGGCCGCCTCCTTCTCCTGCCCTACAAGCCTGAAGCTGGCTTGTCTGGAGCCAGGGGTTAGTCCCGGGGTGTGTGTGTGTGTGCGCGCCCATGTGCACACAAGTGCGTTTGGGGACTCAGGAATTGTCTCCTCCCTGCCTGGCTAGTGGGAGGTGGGACAGAAATGATCCCCCACTGGCCCCCAGCAAGGCCCCAACAGGTGACTGCCCTTCCCTTGCTCACTGTGCTTCTGGGCCACTTCTACCCCCATAGATGTGGGCCTTCGGCCAGCTTCCCTGATGGAGGAGTACACTGGATTATGGGAAATTCTCTAATCACCTTTGCCATTAGCTACGTCTTAGCGTAGATGATCGAAAGCTGTCACTGGTGATTATAGATGAGTACTCCCAGAACAACTTTACAAAATTACCAACTAATTAATTCTTGTTAGGAAGATTACATGTAGTAATTTTGGCAAAGCATCGATGAAATAAAGGTACATTTTCAATTTCAAAAAATACTACAAAAGATTTTGTTTTTAATTATGGTTAAACATTTCAGTGACTTATAGCTACCATGTAGGTTGGTAGACTAGATATCTGATTGGAAGGCACTCATTTTTAAGCCAGAGGAGAAGAGACTTTGTTTAGCACTAATTTCATCACGTCAGATTCTTGAGGTGGGTGTGATAACCTCAGCTTGAAGACTGTTCCTCCTGTACCACTCCCGTCAGTGCTCTTATTAGCTAGCTGCCCTCCGTGTGGTGAGGGGACTGCTTGGTAAAAGCCAGATGAGATCCTGTACTCTGGGCTGGGCCAAGAAGGACTTAATGTTATGCTAATTATCATTGCTTAGAAACAAAAGAAGGGGACGCTGCCAGCATCTGACTGGCTGATGCCAAAAGCTGTGGGTTAAATTTGAAAATTGTTTTTAAATATGAAATTTTATATTTTAAACCCTATTCTCTCTTCTGTATTTTTGACAAAATGGAATGAAGGCTGATGTGCTTGCTTTATTTTCTTTGGTAATCTCTGATTTTGTAGCTTTTAAAACTAGAAACTATAGTTCTGAAAAGGCAGCAACTCTAGTATATAAACACAACTTTATTAAACAGAGTAGGCAGTAGTTGCTTTTCTCAGTGTACCTGGCAGTCTTTGTCATTAATACTGGGGATAAAGGGGAACTAGGCTAGCAGTTCTAATGTAACATTCTTTTAGCATATCTCAAAATAGTATTTAAGTAAATGGTCAAATTTCTACATAATTATTGCACTGAACTGTCTTTGTCTTTTAAGGTGTTTAAATAAGCTCCGCTAATTTCAGGACACTGGAGCCACTTGTGCATCAGGGTGCTTGAATTTAGTAGCTTACAACGTTATTTATGAAGGAAAAAAATATAAATATGAAGTACCTCATGTTGAATGTTATTGTACTGTATTTTTAATGTAACAGTGCAGATCCTGTTAGACACATGAATGTGTATAATCATGTTAATGCAAATAAAAATAAAACTGGTTCATAGATTTGTTTTTCTTAGCATTTTTCTAGCTCCCTTCCAATAGTTTAAAAAATGAATTCTGGCTCTTTTGGTGCCACTACGTTTTAAATAGATGATTTCACAGGAGTGTTTGTTTGCTGAGTATTCAGATATCTTTGATCCCTAAAGAAGCGAAAACTTGAGGCAAAAGCATAAGAGAACAATGAGTGTGTTAATCAGTTGCATTGTTGAAAGCCTGGCTGTTAAGTTAATGAGAGGGAGGGAGTGAATGGATGCATTTATATTCCCGTTATGGAATTCCTGGTTGGCTGACATTGTGATGCTATAGAAGCTCAAAGTCTGTGCATCTTGCCATGCTAAGCAGGTGTTGATATTGAAGGACGTGTAGTTTTAGATGTGACCAGTGCTGTTTGTTCCTGCTGTGCTATAATAGCTTAAATCTAGGAATAAAAATACATAAAATGCCGTGTGAGAACTTTGAATATAATTTTATGTGCTCAACTAGTTTTCTATTATATTTCCCCATATCAAGTATGTATTTCTCACTTGTACATAATTATACATGTACATATTTTTTTTTTTCTCTGCAGCTTTCTGTTGCTTTTCAGAGTTGATTGTGAAATCTCTGTATATTTGCTTACCCACTCCATCTACTCAGGGTTTAGTTTCTACAGCATACCTGCTCAAAGGATTTTTGGAATTTTGCTGAAGAATAAGGGAAATGGAACCACCCATTCTCATCAGCTTAATCACAGACACCTGGAATTGCAAAGCTCTTTAATCCAGGGAACTCTTAACCGTTGTCTCATCTCTGTTGCTATTAAAACTTAATTCATATATGTTTGTTTTCAGTATCCCAAGACAATTGGGAGTGATCCGCCTGCATTGTTGGGGTTTAGGGATCAACATGTCACTGAAATGACACTTTTTCCCCAGGTGACTGACTACATGGCTTGCCTGTGAAAGCCGGAGGCCTAGACTTGGGAGAAAACAGGAAGTGGGATGGCAGTCCTGAGGAATTAAATGGTATAAAACTTAGAGGCTGAAATTAGCAAGTGGCCCTGGAAACCTGAGATTATTTTAAGTGTTTATCAGGGTAGGGTTTGAGTGCCTTTGACATGCCTCAGATTCAATTTTTGAATTTTGAATTTTAACCTTTTTTCAAAGCCTTTTACATTTACTGACCAACGACTCCCTTTGCTCAACACTTCGTCTTCTGCTTTTCAGAGTATATGTTCTAGCAAAACTAATACCGAGAAAAGTTTTCAAAAATAGCATTTCCCCATGTATTTCTTTAACCAACATGCATACCCGTGAAGAGTTTCTCAGCCAGGACGTTGCCAGGCAGTCGACTGACTGTATTTGTGAGGAAGAGGTGAAGGTGGCAGCTGATGATGTCACACACCAAGCAGTGTGAGATAACCTGCTTACGTAGATGAGCCTCTGAAGAATGAGTACATTTTCCCAACTTAGACATCTCTCTGCTACGTCTTCTGAACATTTATTTATTTATTCAAACCCTGGCTATCTTTATAATTGTTTTCCATGTACTTGATTATTTAAGTGTCCAGTGGACAGCAATTTTACTAGCAGATGTTGCTGTTTTATACTTGGCCTCTGAAAAGTCCCTAACCTCCAAGCAGTTAAATAAAACAACCCACTTTTTGTCAAATATATGCTTTAAAGAAATAGGTGTATAGGGCATAATTAACATGAAGTTACCTATTAGACTACTAGCACTTAAACTTTGATTTAGTTCCTGATTTCCCTTTAAGCTATTGGTGGTGGTAACCAGGTTAAGTGGGACAACAGGAGAAGGCATGTGTGTTTACGTTAAAAGCAACTTCAAGGATTACTTCCTTTGTTCACTTCATGTAGCAACAGTACAGAAAATTATTTCAAAACGAAGACATACTTTTTCGTTGATGAACAGTTTTATATTTAATAGACAATCTTTTATATCAGTTTCTTTTAGAGGACTGAAATTACACCTGAAAAAACTACTAGCAGCCTTGTTAATTTTAATGAGAAGTACTTTAATCTTTATGAGCAACATACAGCATGAAGACTTGTGAGAAAGCAGAAAAGTCTATGAGATAATGTTTTGATATGTAGCAGTCTTTACTGTGGCTGTCAAACTCGCATTTTCCTTCCTAAGTTACCAAAAGAGAAACCAAAAAATACTCAGATAATGACTATTTAAAGAGGCTACACATAATTTTTCAAAGCTTGAAGCAGAGGGTACCACCTTCTGCTGTGCAGTAGGATACGTAAAAACGGACTTTTGAAAGGCATTCTATATACCTGATGTAATAAAATGTCTTGTGGTTGTCTTAACCAGCTCTAAACTTTAAGTTAGTTCAGTTCCCCTTACAGAATGCTCAGTGCACTTGAACCTTAACCAATTCAAAAGTAAAAGCTGTTATAAAGAAAAATTCATTCTAAAGAAAAATTCTCAGAATATTTGGAGGCATTCATGGACTGAAGAATACAGTGTTGCCTGGATAATTTAGTTCCCCAGAAATGAATCAAAGGATTAATCCAGCATTCATTCATTGATCACTGCCCTTTGCTCCATCCAGGCAGTGAGAAAGGTGGTGAGGAGTCAGAGGCCGGTAAGATATGATGTGTGCTCTTGGGAGCTATGGACTGTGCAGTGTTTCTTGATCCCTGACATGCAGAATTTAGATTGCTGGACCCCAATCCAGAGATTCTGATTTGGTAGGTCATACATAGGTGGGGTGTGAGACGTTGCATATCCGACATGATGCTGATCCTGTTGTCTGCTGATGACATTGACCTCTGGTGAATGGTGGTATAAATCAGTAGTGCTAAGCGGTAGTGGCAAAGGAGCTCTGGTGATAAAGTGGATAGAGCGCTTGGCTGCTAACTGAAAGGTTGGTGTTTCAAACCCACCATCTGCTCTGCGAGAGAAAGATGTGTCTGTTTCTGTAGATTACAGCCTTGGAAACCCTACGAGACACTTGTACTCTGTTCTAGGGTCGCTCTGAGTCAGAAGCGACTTGATGGCAGCAGGTTTGGTTCTGGTTTGAAGGGGTAGTGGAGTGTCTGAGTTGGTTAGTGCCGCTATAACAAATACAGGTGGGTGGCTTTAATGAACAGGAATTTATTTTCTCACAGTTTTTTGTTGTTAGTTGCCATCGAGTTGACTGTGACTCATGGCCACCCATGTGTGCAGAGTAGAACTGTGCTCCATAGGGTTTTCAAGGCTGTGACCTTTCGGAAGCAGAGCACCAGGCCTGTGTAAAAGCTCCTCTGGGTGGGTTTGAATGCCAGTCTTCAGCTAGTAGTTGAACACTTAACCGTTTGTGCCACCCAGGGTCCTCCTCAAGTTTAAGAGGCTAGAAGTCAGAATTCATGGCACTGGCTGTAGGGGAAGGCCCTCTGCTCTATGGGAAAATCCTTGTCTCAGCTTCTCTATCCCGAGCATTCCTCGGTGGTCTTCATGTAACATCTATCTTTTCCTCCTGTTTGTGCTTGCTTGTCTCTGTGCCTGATCTGCGCTTTTTATGTCTCAAAAGTGAGTTAGGTAAGACGCACCCTACACTGCCTTGGCCTCATGAACACAAGTGTTAATGTGTGATCCAAGTGGGATCACATCCACAAGTATAGGGGTCAGGGTTCCAACACGTATTTGAGGGAACACAATTCAATCCATAACATGGAGAAATGCCCTTGGCTACTAAAGGACCGTTGAAGAGAGGCATCAAGATTGGCCTTGGAATAGCACATTATGTTTCCCAGGAGGAATGATGCCTGAGCTGAGTTTAGAAGGATACATTAGAATTGTCTAGATGAAGATGGGTGATGTTAAGTTGTGTAGCTATGGGGGAGGACATTTCAGAAGAGGAATGGCAGGGGGATAGAGTGGCACACAGCTCAGTGTGGCTCTAGTAAAGGGTACACGTGCAAGAATGAGACCACCTACTGTGTGCCAGGCATGGAGCAGGTAATGAAATGGGCAGGAGCATGAAGGATGTCACGTGTTAGGTTATATGGCTTTTATCCTCAGAATAAAGCAGTGACACTGAAGAGATTGAGTATAGACGAGACCAAAGTTTTGTGTTTTGGAAACATCTTTTTGAACTCTTGGAAGGAAAAGCTGGTTCAGACTGGGCTTCCATAAGCAGTTAGGGCTGTGAGAGTAATGCCAGCGAGGACTAAAGGGGGCCTGGGAGAAAGTTGAAGATTCTAGACATGGAGGGAGGGCGCCAGGATGCAGGGACTGTAACATCCAGTTAAAAGAGGGCTGGCTAAAGTTGGAATGAAACCTCTTGCCTTACGTTTATCCTTATGAAGAGGGAAGAAATAGTTTTACCTCCCTCGGTAGAGACTTGGCTTTTATAGATACCCACCCTTGATTCCATCTTTTGATTCTTTTAGAAAGAAGGTAAAATGAGAGCTGATGTAGTGTAGTATAACAGCTCAGACTCTGGAGCAAGCCTGTCTGGATCTGAAGCTTGGCTCTAGCTGTGTGACCTCAGGCAAGTTACTTAACCTCTCTGAACCTTAAGTCCCTCAAGAAAGATGGCACTAATAATAGTGCTTTCTTAAAGGTTATTATGATGATTAAATAATATTTATAAAGCATTTCAAACAGTACCTGTCAAGCAGAAAGTTCCCTAAGTGTTGAATTAAGTGAAACAAAAGGTAAAAGACCACTAATTAAACTCATGCAGTTTCTTCATGTATGTGTTTATGAGAAGCCGTTTACTTTTAGTTTACACATACTTTCAACAAGTTGTCAATGCAGACAATTAAAAAGCAAAATAGATTGATTTTGTTACTATTTTCAGTCACTGCTGGGAGTATGTAAAGCTACAAAAGGCTGTATTATTGAGGAATTCTCATTTTAATCCAATTTCTAATATGTATTTTAATTTTGTCATGTTAATGAGAGATAGAAATGATGTACCCTGATTTAGATGGGTTCTAGCACCCCAGATACCTTCTATACTAGGGAATTCCTCAGAAAACTACTCTGTGAAAGCTGAATTGTGTGCATAACAAGTTTTTGAGGGACGCTTTGAAGACATTTTCCAAGAGGTGTCTGTTTTGCAGGTGAAAAAATATCCCCTTTGCCAGTTTTGCTAGAGTTAGAATAAGCTTTTTTCTTTGCCTGCTGTCTAAGACACTTTGGACATAACTTCTTCTCCAAGTATTTTGGGATTAAAATCAGTTTTAGTGTTGAAATTATTTGTTGTGTGTTGAAAGCAGATTTGATCTTTATTATGAGTGATGTGGACCTTATAGAATATTTGAATGGCTAATTGTTTTCATTCAAGTAAATACGGGTGGGCCGGAAGCAGGGGCAACTTCCGGTCCATGTACCCCTGCTACTGTTGACCGTTCAGCTCCACCCCGCTGCCTTCTCACCAAATGCTTGAGCCAGTGCTGTGGCCTCACTTGATGAGGGCCCAGGCAGCCTGGATGTTGATTTCTAGTTTCTTTTTCAGGACTGGATTCACCTCTCTTTTGCAAAATAAGCCTTAAAGGAGCCATGCCCCTAGAGATTTTCATTCAGGAGTCTGGGAGCTGGGCTGGAGTCCCTGGGTGGTGCAAATGGTTAAGCACTCTGCTGCTAGCCAAAAGGTTAGAGATTCAAGTTCACTCAGAGGCACCTCGGAAGAAAGGCCTGGCAATCTATTTCCAAAAAAACAGCCATTGAAAACCCTGTGGAGCACAGTTCTGCTTTGACACACATGGAGTCTCCATGAGTTAGAGTTACGTACGGCAACTGGTACTGGTACTAGTACTGGGGGCAGGGTCAGTCACCTTTATTTATATGAAGCTCAGTGAGGATGGGGATTCTGATGCACGTGAAAGGTTGAGAACCTCTGATATAGACAAACTTCCCGGAAACTTGACTCCCATCCGCATGTTCCCTGATGGAAACCCTGGTACCACACACTTTGATAGGGATTGCGTTGAATCTGCGGATCATTTTGGTTTGTATTGACAACAATATTGTCTTCTGATCCATGAACATGGGATGCCTTTCCATTTATTTATGTCTTCTTTAATATCTTTCAGCAGTGTTTTATAATTTTCAGTGTGCAAGTCTTTCACCTTCCTGGTTACATTTATTCTTACATATTTTATTAGCTATTGGTATAATTTTGATTGGAGATAACAATCAATGTCAATGGGACCCCTGTGTCATGATGACTTCCCAGAGATTGTCTCTGTCATCCACTCCAACAGAGAACTAGGTCTAAATTTGAGGACCTCCCAGTCAAAACCTCTTCCCAGCTACAGACTGTTAAAAGCTTCTTATCTCTTTCCATCTTTTGCTTACTGCATACAGGAGGAACGCTCCCAACAAAGACCATGCCCAAAGAAAGCATAACCAAGCAGTTAACTACATCGATTTTTAATAAGATTCTAAAATACTAACTTACAATATGTGCAAGAAAACTCTATTCA